TTTTGAGACAGAGTCTCACTATGTTGCCCGGGCTAGAGTGCCATGGCGTCATCCTAGCTCACAGCAACCTCACACTCCTGGGCTCAAGCGATCCTCCTGCCTCAGCCTCCCAAGTAGCTGGGACTACAGGCATGCGCCACCATGCCCGGCTAATTTTTTCTATATATTTTTAGTTGTCCGATTAATTTCTTTCTATTTTTAGTAGAGACGGGGTCTCTCTCTTGCTCAGGCTGGTCTTGGAACTCCTGAGCTCAAACAATCCGCCCGCCTCGGCCTCCCAGAGAGCTAGGATTACAGGCGTGAGCCACCGCGCCCGGCCGAGAACCCGTCTCTTAAAAGAAAAAAGAGATGTCATTTAAAAAATTATAAAAGCAATGCATGTTCATGGTAATTCAAGTAGTACAGAAAATGTGTGAGGCGTGAGTTAAGTCCCTTTTCCTTCTCACCTCCCTACTCCTTACTCGGTAGAGGTAACAATACTTTCTTGCATAAGCCTCCAGAAATTTTCAGTGCTACATAAGTGCATAATAAGTATGTGGTTATCTTTCTGTATTAGTCCATAATACATGCCTCATTCTTTCTAATGCCATTAGTATACTTTAAAAAAGTTATTAGCTATATCTTATTTATGAGGCTCCACCTGATTGATGCAGCACTATTGGATTCAGAAGGAGTGCAAGTACTTTACACATTCATTATTGACCAGGAAATGTGGATTTGGAAATATGATTAATGAGAAGGAATGAAGAATTTGGAGAGAGAGAGATCCGCAGCCACTTTCTGCCCTAGTGGCTTGCCCATATGTGCCTGGGAGTAGTTTCCTACTCACCCTGCTGACAGGATCACTTTCCTTGCCATCCAGCCACCTTGTGGTCCAGACCTCCAGGCCCCACTTCCCTTTTTTCTAGCTAGGTTATTTCTCACTTCTTGACCATTCACTCCTTTGCTCAGCATCCACAGTAGCAACAGCCCATATACCTACAAGCAGAGCATACCCTCACTGAGCAGGTAAATCTGTTGAAAGAGATGCTAAGGTCCCTATTAAATAACAGAATTAATATTGAATAGAGGAGTTGAATATTGAGTTAACTATGGTTGTCTAGTAATTGGGAGATTAGTAATTGGGAGAACAATTTTATTTATTTTTTTATTTTCTTTTACCTGGAGCCACACTCAAGAAGCCTTGAGCAAGTGGACTCCAGAGACTACCATTTTAAAGTTGGGTTTGTATAGGTTTTATGTAATTCTTTAGCTTCTGACCTCTAAATGTAGAAACTGACTTTCCAATTTCATCACATCAGGAAGCATCTGTTAAGTATTTATAATGTTATTGTGTTTTGTGGGGGTGGCATCTTTGATCAGATTATAGAAGAGTGTCTATTTTGAATCAGGAAATTCACTGCTAGCCCTAGATGACTGGGGCTAACCCTTTAGGCACAATAGAAGGAGCCACACTGTTGTCAAGGCAACTGAAGTTCAAGATCATCTGGTCTCCAGGCAACCTTTTCCAGACTTGCCTCAAATGCTTTCCCAAGCTTTCTCAGGAGGGGCCCTTCCCTGTCCTCCTCTTCCAGCTTTGGGACCCCAGGAGGAGGAGAGCCCAAGAAACCATGGAATGATGTGAGGTTTGGAATTTTTGAAACAGCTAAATATTAATATGTGGATCAGGTGGTAGGTAAAGAACTGGAAAAGAAAATTCATGCTATAGAGAAAGGAGGACAGTTCCTCCCTACTCTTGTATCTAAAACACACTAACACTGGGTTTGCTTGTTAGCAGTTTCTGTTATATTCCCATACTCTTGATTCTTGTAAGGCCTCCTGAAGCTTGTCATGGTTTGATTCGTTACTGTCAGCTTGTGACTTGTGAAAGAAGTGAGATGTTTGTTCTCTTACCCAGCACGTGGGAGGGTGGGTAGACCACCATCTGAATTGACAAGGCTGGTTTGTCTGGGAGTTCTTTTTCTGATGTCACAAGAGGTTACTGTTGCCTTGGACAACATAAGCTAATAGTGAATTTGTCTATGGCAGGGCATGATGGTGGGTCTGCGGGCATAAGCACTGTGGGACATCAGGCTGCAGATTGTTTCATGCCAAGCTTTGCAATACTCATACCTATAATCCCAGTGATGAGGGAGGATCGCTAGAGGCCAAGAATTTGAGACTAGCCTGGGCAACGTAGTGAGACCCTGTGTCTACAAAAAATGAAAAAAATATAGTGAGGCTTGGTGTCTCATGCCTGTAGTCCCAGCTACTTGAGAGGCTGAGGCAGGAGATCACTTGAGCCCCAGAGTTTGAGGCTGCAGTGAGCTATGATCATGCCACTGCACTCCAGCCTGGGTGACAGAGCAAGACCCTGTCTCTTCAAAAAAAAAAAACTTCCATACCTTCTGTAGTGGCTTCTACATTTCTATATTCTTTAGCTATTTCCTCTTTTTGTCTTACTTTCTCTATCACCTCATTAGATACTTGAACATCTCTTTGCAGCTAAATATTCCCCCCAAAATGCAATTAGCCATGGAGACCAGCGAGCTGTCGTGGAAAGGAGGTTCTTACATCCCGTACATTACCCGGGTTGGGTAGTAAGAGTGCCTACTGAAGAAAGTAGAATAATCCTCAGCATTAAAAACAATAAAAATGATGTTAATAACGGCAGCTAACATTTTCTGAGTGTCCACTCTATGTCATGTGCTCCACATGGGTGACCTCATTTGATCTTCCCAGTGTTACCTGTGAAGAAACCTATTGAGGAAGGTACTACTGGAATTCCCATTTTATAGACAAGGAAATAGAGGCACAGAGTGTGCAAAGCTGCCAACTACAAGCGGAAATGACTTTAGAGGTCTTATGTTCTATTTATGCAAATTTTCTGTTTTGTTTCATTCTATATCCATGTTTGGTTTTTATATAAAAATAACTTCCTCCCCCAATTTTTTTTTTTTTTTTTTGGTGCCGTGGTGTCAGTCACTTAACCACACCTGGCTAATTTTTTCTATTTTTAGTAGAGATGGGTTCTCACTCTTTCTCAGCTTGGTCTCAAACTCCTGACCTCAAAAGATTCTCTGGCCTTGGCCTTGCAGAGTGCTAGGATTGCAGGCGCGAGTGGCCTTCCTCTCCAAATCTTTCAGTGAGTTGATGCATTAGGAAGATATGCTCTATTTGCTCTCCAGGGATAGCAGGAGTGTTATGCACGTACCTGTTTGAGAAACACAGCCTTAAGAGTTATGAATACTTTGGCCAGTTAGGGAGTAGTTACCCTTAAATTTGAGAGGAGGGCATGGGATGAAGCCCAGGACAAGGCCAGGGCCAGGAGAGGAGGGCAGGTTTGGTATGTGAATGTGGGGTTGGTGCTGGGGCACTTCACCCCAAAGGTTCTAGTTGAGTACCTGTTGGGATCTTTGCTAGCATTGAAGGAGGATACGAAAGTAGGAGACGTTTTTCAGAGTGTTTAGATGCAGTCTGGGAGGTATAATACAACAGGCCCATAGCTTTGCATCATTGCCTAATCACGCAATTCCTAGTTCAGGTGTTGAGCACAACAGAGAAGGCAGAGTCATGTGGTTGGGAAGGCTTCATTGGAAGAGGGGAAACAAACAAACAAAAAAACCCCTGAAAGATTGGTCACATTTAGAAGTAGGAGAGAGAATGGTGTGTATAGGCTGAAGTGTGATTCCACTTGCCCCGCTTCTCACTTCTTCTCGTTAATATTCATACATATACTCATTCATATTCTCTCAAAATCTTCATTTTTTTTCATTAAATTACTCTTTACAAAATTACCCCCGAGAAGGACAGGACTTGTATGTGTTATTATTTGTCAGACCATTTTTGTTAGTCTAAGGTGAGGATTGCCACTTGGTCAGCCATGGCCGACGGATGGTGTTTAGTGGTCCTGCACGTTGTCCCTGCAGAATCTGAGTTTGAAGGCCCTTGGGTGAGCTGTGCTCTCTCAGTTCAACGTCCTCCTTGCCGCTGCCCTTGCCTCACACCTGACCTGAGTCATCACTGATATCACGTGCCTTTATAGGCCCTTGAAGTTGCAACTCCAGGTGTTAAGACTGACTTGGAAATAGAAACAGGAACCTTAAATAAGAAGCTCTCAGTCCTTGAAGCTCTCTTCAGAGCCTGAGAACCTTAGTTTGGAACCTTAACCTGCCCTTTTCCCAAATCTCATCTTAAAATTTCTTCTGCTTTTTTACAAGAGGAAGTAACATCTTGTCCTTTTGTTTAGGCCACTTTCCCTTCTCTTCCCCTGAATAGTGCCTGGCTGCTTCATCCTGGGAGACTGAAAGGTAGAAGCTTGTATTTAATGGTTTTTAAAGCCTGGAAAGCCCATTTCTGTAATTAGCCTGAAGAAAATTTTCAATATAAAGTAATGAGGAAAAACATGATTAGAAATGCAAGCTACCTTTCAACATAAAATTTTCAGTTTGCTTTGCAAATACGGTTTCTTTTTTTCTTGGCATTTATTTGGGCCTTTTGCTGCTTTCTAGGTTAGTAGAGTTGAGAAACGGCTGCCAAACACTGTAATAATTCTCACTTGTGTTTTGGCTGATGCCGTTTTTTTTCTGTGTTGACTGAGTTCTGTGGCCTAGTAAACTGCAGTGCCTGTGGTTAGAACCGAGATAGAAGCCCAGGAAGCTCCCAGCTTGAGGGCTCTGCCCCTGACTCAAAGAGGAGCCACCCTCTCGGTTTCTTGGCCCTGGCCTCACAGAGGTGAAATGGGCCTCAGTCAGTATTTGTGACGGGCTGGAATGAAAGACTGAGTCTTTGAGGGGTTTATAACCCCCAAGGCAATTAGGAGAGAAAGTGACTTTGGTTTCTCTTGACCCCTGGGGAAATGGGCTGGTTCTTTGGAGGTTTCCTGTGGTGAGGATTCACGTGAGTTAGACCAGGAAGGTCAAGGGTAATGAACAGAAGTTACTGGGTTCCCTCTCTGGCTGTGGTGCCCGTAAGAAATACGCCAGCAGCGACGGCATCTTAGAAGGCAAATCGCTGAAGGGCCAACGTGTGTCACCTTCCTCCTCGGCAGGCCTTGAGCGACCGCTTCAGCGGCGAGATCCCTGATGACCAGATGGCGCACAGCTCCTTTTTTCCAGATGAATACTTCACCTGCTCCTCCGTGTGCCTCAGCTGTGGGTAAGTGAGGCCAGCCCTCCCCTGACCCCCGCGGTGGGACTCGGGGCTTAGAGTGGCGCTTCTCAGACGCCAGTGAGCACGCAGATCGCCTCGGTCTGGTTAAACGACACGTTATGATTTAAATCATCCGGGGTGAGGCCCGAGATGGTGCGTTCCCAGCAGGTTCCTGTAAGATCCTGGTCATCCGGGAGCCACACGATGAGGTAGCAAGCGTTTCAAGAACACGTGGCTGGGAAGAATCCCCTGAAAATTCCAACCTGGGGTAGATGTTAAATTGACTGGCTTCTGGTTTAGGCAGTTTTTGGTGCTGCGGATTTTGACTTCGGCTCACCTGCTTTTCTGTTTCTTCTACCACGGCTTTCGGTCATTTATTCCTAGCATTCCATTTATTCACCTCATATTTGAGTGCCCCCTTGTGATTCTTTTCACCGTGAGGGCAGACACTTAGAGCACGTTAGAATTTTCCAGGGAAAATTCAAAATGATCGAGGCCGGGGCCCCCTTCTGGGGATTCGCATTTAATGGATCGTGGGTAGAGCGTCAGCACCAGCGTGTGGAAACGGCTGCTCAGGCGGTTCTGGTGTGTGCCCTGAGTGGAGAGCGTTGGGTCGGGCAGTGCCTCGCAAACTCTCATCTGCACGTGCGTCCCCTTGAGAATTGGGTGAAATGCAGATTCTGAATCCGCAGGTCTGGGTCAGGCCAGAGATCCTGCGTTTCTAGCAAGCTGCCGGGCGATGCTGCACCGCTAGTCCACGCACCCCACTTTGTCACACGGGGATTAGAGCAGAGAGTCTCACGGTTAGCCCGTGTGGGAAAACTGAAAGGGTGTGTGAAACCAGATTGTTGGGCCCTGCCCCCGAGCTTTCTGATTCGGTAGGGCCTGAGAGTTTTTATTTTTAATAAATTCCCAGGTGCTGCCGCTGTTGCTTATTGGGACCACGCTTTGACTATCATTGGATTAGTGTGAGCTTTTGAAGGCTGTTAAGTCCCAGCCTGGTGACTTGGCTGATGGGCCCCAGGTGATTGAAATGCAGTGTGTCAAGGTCAGATTATAGTCTCCGGGTCCTGTAGACATGCCCTCCCACCACCTTCACCACCAAATTGTCTTTGCTCACATCAGGACCATTGCCCGTGTCCTCTACACTTGCCCTTCTGTGGGAGGAGACCTGAGCCTGCTTCTGTTATGAATGGCCTTTTTGCCCTGGACCCTGCAGGCCACCTGCTAGGCACTGAACCACCTCTGACCTTGGTTAAAAGAACTTGGTTCTTGGATTATACAGCCTGCGCCAGGGAGAACTAAGGATTAGCTTGGAGAGTTGAGCTTGAAAAGGGGAGAGGGGTATTAGTTGCCAGTGTGGCTAACCTTCCTTTTTGCTCGCTCCATGAGCCCAGCGTGAGAGGCTTAAGCACTGTTAGATCATTGCTTTTTCATTCTGAGCCTTGCCAGGATTTCCAGAACTTTCCCTTTTATCATAGTGAAAGTCTAAAGTCCTGATCTCTGTTTTTGCATTGTCAGGATGACAGAGCTCACTGTTCATTTGGAAGGTTTTCTTGTTCAGCTTAAGCCTCCCCTTAATGCATTGCCAACTTTTGGGGGTTGGTTTTTGTTTTGCATTTTGGCAGCCTGTTCTGGTTAAACTTTCCATTTCATCTCGTTTGGATTTTTGAGTTTTCTGAGAGCCATTCAGGTTTCATCTCTGGTCAAGTTTGGTATCTTTTGGCCCCTCCATTCCTGCTGAGGGGACAGGGCGTTTTCCGAGAAGAGATTCTTTTCCTCCTTCGTCCTCATACAGGGGTAGTGGTTGCTCTGCCTCTGCAGTGCTGTTGATTGCAAGAGCCACCGTTTCTGTGCTCAGCATCTGAGGCCCAGTTCATAGCTAAGGTCTGGTTTTGGCCCTGAGCCTGGCTCAGGGTCACACTGTTCTGTGTAAGTGGCATTGGCTCCTTCAGCCAACTCATCGGCAGTTTTTGGGCTTCACCCAGGGTTGGATGTAAGAACAGCATGAATCATGGGAAGGAAGGAGTGCCTCACGAAGCCAAGAGCCGCTGCAGATACTCCCACCAGTATGACAACCGAGTCTACACCTGCAAGGTGAGTTCTTGGAGCTTCTCTCTGCCCTAGCAGCTGGCTAGCTGGTTGCACTCTCCTTTCGGCAGGGCTGTCTTGGGGCTGCCCTTTGCTGCATCCCAAAGTATTTGATATTCAAATTGAGTATCTCTGAAACTTCTCTCCAGCTCTAACCAAAAGAACTCACATGTCTTCATTGCTGGGGCCCCTTCGTTTATTGTTTTAAGCTTATTTTCCTCCTCATTCTGTTAAGCTTGTATGTGAGGTTCATATTCATGGAAACGCTCTTCAGGAAACTAGCATTGATTGATTTTTCCTGTCTGTGACGGGTCTGTGATTTAAAGCTCAGCGTTTGGGCCTGGGAGGGGTACCCACTGAATTCATTATCATTCAGGGCACTGGTTTCTTTAGAGAAACGAACCTTCTCAGGTGCTACACTCAGGGTCTGGAACCCTCAGCTGCTATGGTTTGTGGGGAGTTGGGGTGGATGGGGGTGTGATGAGGCCATGGGGTGTGGTGGAAATAAAATGAGCTGGCGGAGCGCCCTGTGTTTCAGGCCTGCTACGAGAGAGGCAAGGAAGTCAGCGTAGTGCCCAAAACATCCGCTTCCACCGACTCTCCCTGGATGGGTCTCGCAAAATATGCCTGGTCTGGGTGAGTTTAAACAACACAGCTGAAAGTGTTTTGGTGTGTTTGTCTCCCCGGCACCTGGCCGGGTAACGGTATTTATTTGCCTCCCTTGTAGGTACGTGATTGAGTGTCCTAACTGTGGTGTGGTCTATCGGAGTCGGCAGTACTGGTTTGGGAACCAAGATCCCGTGGATACGGTGGTGCGGACGGAGATCGTGCACGTGTGGCCCGGAGTAAGAACACTTTGCTTAGCTTTTCTTCTTTCTCTTGTATCGTTCGGTTATATATATGTGTGGAAAAGTGGAAGTTGTTAGAATTAAGGTTAATTGTGAATTTCAATATATTGGTGATTTAGAACGGCAGGATCTGGAGAACCTTTCTTATTCAAGACCTTTAATTGTTTTTCTTTCTTCCTGCATAAATAATAGGAGCACAACTTTAAATAAAATAAACGAAAAATGACCCTATAGTTCTCCTTTGGCAAATAAAACTTCATTTATTCAGGTTCTCATTAATTTTCTATATGCATAAGATTATAGTTGCAATTATAATTTACATGCCATTTTCCTTGCCTTTTTTCATAACACTATTTTATTTAGTTTTATTTCCACAATGCTGCTACTTTTCATGATTCTCATTTGTCACTGTAATATTTTGTCCAGTGGTATAGTGTGACTCACCATTCTCTTGTTGAACATTTATGCTGGTCATGATTTTTTCTTATCAAAGAAAATGCTATAGTGACCATCTTCATGTGAAAAAGTCACTTCTTTGTTTTTTTTTTTGTTTTTTTGTTTTTTTTGAGACAGAGTCTTGTTCTGTTGCCCTGGGTGGTAGAATGCACTGGTGTCGTCATAGCTCACTGCAACCTCAAACTCCTGGGCTCAAACGATCCACCCACCTTGGCCTCCCTGAGTGCTAGGATCACAGGCATGAGCCACTGTGCCTGGTCAGAAAACCACTTCCTGGCCGGGCCTGGTGGCTCACACCTGTAATCCTAGCACTCCGGGAGGCCGAGGTGGGTGGATCGTTTGAGCTCAGGAGTTCGAAACCAGCCTGAGCAAGAGTGAGACCCTGCCTCTACTAAAAAACAGAAAGAAATTAGCTGGACAACTAAAAAAATATATATATAAAAATTAGCTGGGCATGGTGGCAAATGCCTGTAGTCCCAGCTACTCAGGAGGCTGAGGCAGGAGGATCGCTTGAGCCCAGGAGTTTGAGGTTGCTGTGAGCTAGGCTGACGCCACGGCACTCTAGCCCGGGCAACAGAGTGAGACTCTGTCTCAAAAGAAAAAAGAAAACCACTTCCTTATTTTGGAAAATTTTCTTTGAAGTAATGGGGTTACCGTATACCCTTAATCACTGTTCTTTAATTTGACTTTTGAATTCTGGATGTCAATAAAACAAATCTGTTTACAAGGCAGTGATATGGTGCTTTCATTATGTATTAAATCACTGTTACTTGGTTGGGGAACCTGCAGCCTTGGGGCCACATGTGGCCTTCTACATCCTTGAGTGCGGCCTTTTGACTGAATCCAAACTTTACAGAACAAATTTTTTTAAGAAAGGGATTTGTTCTGTGAAGTTTGGATGTGGTCGAGGGGCCACACTTGGGGATCCAGAGGGCCACATGCGGCCTTGAGGCCACAGGTTCCCCACCCCTGCCAGGACAACTTTAAAGTGAGAAAGTGTAAGTGGTGAGTATAAGTGCTGAGATAGCTTTTGGATTTACAGTGTTCTAGGAAAACAGTAATGTAGTCGTTTACTCTTAGGCTGCATTCCTCATAGTCCTTGGGGTTAGGAGAGTACAAGCACCTCCCTGTCTGTTTGTTGGCTCAGTCATTCATTCATTTCTTCACTCATTATTTCAGCATAGTTTGAGTACTATATGCTCAGAATTGAGCTAGATACTTCACAAAAATGGAAGAGATACATTATTCTCAGAGTTCACAGTTTAATAAGGAGTCAGATACATAGATGTTGCACTTACAGAAATAGGATTCCTAGAGATATACAGGTATCAGAGGCACAGAGGGGAAAGGGCTCCTGGTCGAGGAGGCTTCCAGGCGCGGCGTCATCTCCTGTGTCATCTGGGCCAAGCAAGTCCGGAATTGAACAGCTGCACGTCAAGTCTTATGGTCCTTGTTGGGAATAATGCCAGAGAGATTCCTGCTCTGTTTCTATTCTTCCCTGTCGAGGAGTTTGTTTTTCTTTTTTTATTACTGTATTTTAAAAATTTTATTTTTATATACTGTCAGTCTCACCTGTATACGAGCCAGGGAGTTTATGGTTCTGAGCTGGCCGTGGTGAGTGTGCAACTCACCAGAGACCACTCTCCTTCCTCCCTTTTACCCCCTTCCCAGAGCATGATGGGAGCCTGCGTTTTCGTTTCAGACTGATGGATTTCTGAAGGACAACAACAACGCTGCCCAGCGCCTGCTGGACGGGATGAGCTTCATGGCTCAGTCAGTGTCCGAGCTGAGCCTTGGGCCCACCAAGGCTGTGACTTCCTGGCTGACAGACCAGATCGCCCCTGCCTACTGGAGGCCCAACTCCCAGATCCTGGTATGGTGTGGCAGGCTGCGGCCCTGGCGTAGCCCATCCTGCTTAGGCTGCTTTCCCTGGGCTCAGCTTCTTCTGTGAGGATGGTGTGAACATTTTCTCCCAGTAAAATTAGCTCCAGCAGTACTGGGAGTGGTAGGGTTTGTTGAGGCAGCCAGTTTTCTCTTTGCCCATTGATTTCTCTTTGTGGTGTTCTGTAAATATTTTCTTCGTGGTGGGTTTTAGCTTCCTTACCTGCAAGGGCCAGTTAATTCTGCTCGGATGTCTGAGGTTGCAGATACAGAATCTGGAGGGAAAGGGGCCTGATACATAATGTCTACAGCACCTACAGCAAGGGACACCTGGCTTCAGCCCAAACACTTTGTGACAGGAAACTCACTCCTTACCAGGCTTCCTTTCCACTCTCAGATAAGTCTTACTGCTAGCAAGGCTTTGTCCTTACCGAGCTGAAACCCGCCTCCCTTAGTTTCTGGTTTGTCCCCTGGGTCTTGTTGACTTTCCAGCTGAGCAGACACGTACCATACCTGCCTCTCTGTTTTGTTTTGGGTTTGGAACAGAGCTGCAACAAGTGCGCGACGTCCTTTAAAGATAACGACACTAAGCATCACTGCCGGGCCTGTGGGGAGGGCTTCTGTGACAGCTGTTCATCCAAGACCCGGCCGGTGCCCGAGCGGGGCTGGGGCCCTGCGCCTGTGCGGGTGTGTGACAACTGTTATGAAGCCAGGAATGTGCAGTTAGGTAATGTGGGGCCCGGCTGCTGCAAACACGTAGGGGGAGAACTTTCCCTCCTTGGCACTGGGTGTTGGGAACTGGACCCCCATGTACCCCACCCTGTTTCTAACCACAACACTCTTCTGAGAGCCAGTTGCTCCTCTTGGCCAATCGTCCTTAAACTCTTTGTTAGCAGAGTCCTGGGGATGCTCTTCCTGAGGGGATGTGTTTGAACCCGTTCTGCTCTCTAAGCTGCAGAAATGCTTCTGTGAGAAGGGAATACACACCTAGCAGCTGATTTCTGAAAAGGCTGCAGTGTTTACCAGAGATGGCTTAGACTGGGGTTCTAGGTCATGCTCCTAGAACCTTTCTGCCTTACTTTAAAAGAAGGCTATAAAATAGCTTCAGAGGGTTGTAGGTAAAAGACTAACAGATGTCACCCAATTTCAGGGTCTGGGCTGACCTCACCTGTAGCAATCGTTGCAGGATAGCACAGTGGTACCCTGGGAAAAGAATCTAGAAGTGTTCTGCTATTGCCTGCTTGAGTTTTACATTTGGGAAATGACTTAAAAGGTGACAGCTTTTCTTTTATCATTATCTGCAGATGTTACTGAGACACAGGCGGACGATGAAGGCGGAACGCTGATTGCTCGGAAGGTGGGCGAGGCTGTGCAGAACACTCTGGGAGCTGTGGTGACAGCCATTGACATACCACTAGGTGGGCCTGGCAGTGCTTCTCTTGGGTGTAGTGTATGTGGGATGAGGGGTTTTGGGGTGCCCTGGGCTGTCATTTTGTCAAAGTCTTGCCAACCTAGATTGAATTGGGCAGCAAGGAAGAAAACCTTCACATTTGCTTCTGCTGAGTACCTTGGTGGTTTCATATTTATTCTCTTACACCATCTAGTGTCACATAACAAACTACCTGAAAAATGTAAGGGTTTAAAACACCATTTTATGATGTCTTACAACTTCGTTGGCTAGAAGTTGGGAAGGATAATGATTCTGCTCCAAATGGCATTGCCTGGAGTTACTACCTGATATTCCAGGGTGGCAGCTAATCTTGAGGGTGCATGGTGATGTCACTTATGTGCCAGGTGCCTTGGCAGGGGTAGTTGGAAGGCTGGCCCTGCAGAGCCCTCTGCATGTGTATTCTCCAGGCCTGTTCTTGTATCTCTCCAGTGGTAGCTGCACTTCTTAAATGGTGGCTCAGGGCTCTAAGCGTTAATAGTCCAAGAGACAGGAAGTAGAAGCTGCCAATACCTTAAGGCCTAGGCCTGTAAACTGGCACTTCTGTAGTCAGTATCCTGTATTCTGTTGCGGTCACAGAGCCTGCTTGGATTCAAGGGAGGGGGCAGGAGTGTCAAAGATGAAAGGCATGTCAAAGATTTGCGACTGTCTTTGACACACTAGCCAAGCTACTGTTAATTTAGGATTTAATATATTAATAGCTACACAGCTCCAGATGTGAGGGGTACTTGTAGTCAGGATGGGAAGAGGAAGAGGAAGGGAAATCAACCAGTGTGTGGCTGGCTTAGGCAGGGTTGGCCAGGCATGGGGCAGTTTGGTGCATCATAGGGGAGAGACCAAAGGTTTCTGGGTGGGTGCTGAGGAAAGTGGCTTGGATCAGATTTCATCCTTGTGGCTCACAAAACGAGCAGATGATGAGCTTTTACACAAGGATATAGGAATTAGAGGGCTGTGCCCAGGCTTGAAGCTCAGGTTGCATCTGCCCTTGGGCACCTGGGAGAGGGAAGGGCCATGCTTGGCACAGATGACCTGCCAACTATGCTCACCAAGTGCTCACTTACTGAGGACCCACTGGGTGTGAAGTCCCAGGCCAGTGTGTTAGACACTCTGTTTCTTGTCATCAAGGTGGAACTATAAAGATGAGGAGTAAGAGCCCGAGAGGTTAAGTAACCTGTCTTAATCCTGCAGCTACTAATTAACTTGTCCTCGGTGGAACTGGGGCTTGAGCGTCTGACTCCAGAGCCGAGCCTGCCTTAGTTCCCTCAGGGGCTCCTGGAAAGCTTGCACGTCTGTCAGCAGCAGGGCCTAGGCCCGGCCCAGAGATTCTGATCCGGATGGTAAGGGGCAGAGGCCGGGCCTCTGCATTTTTTAAAGTCTCTATTGGTGACGGTGCACTTGGGATTACAAGCCAGGAAGTGTCCGAGGATGCTCTCTTGCTCGTTGGGACTCAGGGCAGCGGGTTTTGTGCGTCCTGACCGTTGTTGTTCCTTCGCTGCCATAGGTCTCGTAAAGGACGCGGCCAGGCCGGCGTACTGGGTGCCTGACCACGAGATCCTGCACTGCCACAACTGCAGGAAGGAGTTCAGCATCAAGCTCTCCAAGCATCACTGCCGGGCCTGCGGACAGGGCTTCTGTGACGAGTGCTCCCATGACCGCCGGGCTGTCCCCTCTCGTGGCTGGGACCATCCCGTCCGAGTCTGCTTCAACTGCAATAAAAAGCCCGGTGACCTTTAACCCCAGTCCCCTCTCCGAGTCCTTCACAATTCCTTAGGTTCTCAGGGTTAGAAACTGAAGTCTCATTGAGGTAGGCCCTCCTCCCGGTCACCTACTGTGGTGTGTGTCCTCTCCTCTACTCATCCTGGGGCCACTTTCCCTCAGTGGGGGTGAGCCTGGCGGCAGGCCCGAAGGTGTGAACCCCTCAGGGCAGGGGCCGAGCAACTATAGCAAAGGGGAAATGAACCTGAATCCGTTGCAGTTATTTCATTTTAAAATAGTAAGTATGTATGTGTGTATGTATCTCCATATATACATATGAAAGGAACCTGCAGTGTATCGAGCCTGCCGCTGGCTGCGAAGACTTACCACAGTCTGTCCCCAGCACAGGGATAAGGTGGCAGTGGCAGCAGGTCTTCCCCACAAAGCCAAGCCAGGTGCAAAGCCACTGCGTTGCCGGTCCCCTCTTGCTGCTCCTCCCTGAGCCTCAGAAGCCTCTCCCTTCCTTGCCTTTTCCCTTCCTGCCTCTCAACGGCCTGGAAGTGAGCCTCCCAGGGACTTCTGGCTCGAAACGGCCTGAAGGTAATTCACCTGGGCCTCGGGGAGTCGAATCCCAGTTCTTGGCTTAAGCCTGTTTTGGTCAGAGACCACCCAACTTCGTGTGCAGGTCACCAGAGTGGGTGGAGGGTCAGAGGTCGGGTCTTTAGCCCTGAGAAGTCAAAATGCAGGTGCCTTGCCCATCCCTCGTACCTGGGAGAGCAAGGAAGGCAGCGGGCCTTCCCGGCAGTGCTTGCTGTTCGTTGACGCTTCTGTCTTCACTAGGCCTTCCTAAAAGGCTGTGCTCTCCTAAATTGAAACACCTGCCACCTCCTGCTCCCTCCATCCCCCTCGAGCCCATGATCTGCTTCTGAGTGTCGCACTAGGATTTTTATTGCTTAAAGTGTCTTAAATCTTTGTTCCCAGTCGTATAACCTCTCTGGCTATTGGAGGGGGTGATCATGAGAAACCTTCCAGGGAAACAGAGCACAGAATGGACTGTTAGTTGTTTTTTTAAAGTATATATAAATATTGCAACAGATCATTAAAAGTTCTCTTTTCGGTCCTTGCAAGAGAAGTCAGCGAACTTTTGTTTCTCATCAAGAGCTTGGACATCCATATCTATTGTGAGTGGAAAGAGACTGTTGTGCTGAAATCCTGTCATCATGGTGGATTTTATCTTCAGTGGCCAAAAACGAAGACTTAAAAGCATACTTCTTGACTGAACTGGTGGGTGGGTTGAGCTTCAAGGAGGTGCGTGGGTGGTCATTCCTGGCGTGAGTATCGGTGTGACATGAGCCCTGGAGTGTGTTGGTCCTTCTCCGACCTGCTCCTTATCGCCTCCTGTGGCCCAGTGACTGAGGCCCTACTCTAGAACTGTGTATTATCAAATTCGCCATTATAAAGGAATCTTCCTGCTGAATGTGGACTGTTCTTTTCCTCTAACTCCATCAGGAAAGCTTGCTCACCTCTTTCCAGTTGATGGGAAAGTAGCTGGTGGCTTTCAGAGCAGAAGCCAAGTGAGGCATATTTCTAAGGTGGTAATATTTTCCTATAAATGTTTATTATTATGACACGTTTTTTTTTTTTTTTTGAGACAGAGTCTTGCTCTGTTGTCCCGGCTAGAGTGCCGTCGCGTCATCCTAGCTCACAGCAACCTCAAACTCCTGGGCTCAAGTGATCCTCCTGCCTCAGCCTCCCGAGTAGTTGGGACTACTGGTGTGTACCACCATACCCGGCTAATTTTTTTTTACATATATATTTTTTTTAGTAGAGACAGGGTCTCACTCTTGCTCAGGCTGGTCTCCAACTCTTGAGCTCAAACAATCCGCCCGCCTCAGCCTCCCAGAGTGCTAGGATTACAGGCATGAGCCACCGCGCCCAGCCCATAAGAACTTTAAGAAAAAGCATTGCAAAATACCACAACTCCATTGTCATATGGAGTGAGTTTTAATCTCATGACAACAGACTGTTCCCCCCCTCCAGCTTTTAGGTAGATGGCATTGCCCCTGATCAGTTTGCTGCTGGGACCAGAACTTTGAGGATTGTCATGAATATTCCTTTATTTAGAGGAGATGAGAGCTGATGGTCACAGGATTTTTTTCTAGTGACTGTATGGTTCCACACGTTCTCACTCATCACGCAGGCATCCCGCACTTGGCTGTTCTTGGCCTTTCCCCAGTGGGGGTGAGCGTTGGGTGGGAGCCGCAGCACAGGCCGAGCTGCGCTGGCTTGGCCTGGGGTGGGCAGCGAGGCGGGTACGTGCAGCTTGGGAAGCGGTTTTGTGGCTTGGCTTCTGAGTTCCACTCTGTAGCTGTGGTATCAAGGTCATGGGGGGACTCTTCTCTCACAGTGGCAAAGACTGGGTATTACTCCTGATTTGTCATTTCTAGGTTTAAAATAGATACTACTAGTGACCTGTGGGGAGCACTGAAAAAAATTTTTTTCCCTTTGAATGTGACACTTCTTTCTCCCTCCTGCCTTGTCTGTCCAACTCCTAGGTCAGTGATCCACTGTTTCCCCGTCTCTGTGGCTATTGACACTGTGGTCTTTGTCCCTCCCTGCCCCAGTTTCTTTCCCCGCATCTTTCTCTTTCCTGTCTTCATCTCTTTCACCCGTATCGTCTCTCAATTTTTTGGGGTGAGTGGGGCAGGGTGGGGAAAGGTTTGGGAAAAGAGGTGAAATGTCGCAGCCATATTAGACCTGGTGGTTCTGTCGTGCTCGGGCACTCCTGAGTGTCCACCTGGCCACATGGTAGTGACATTTCTAGCTTGTCACTATCCTAGTCTAAGGCTCTTTTCGTAGGAATCAGGCAGAAAAATCTAAACTCCCTTACACCTGTCAGACTAATGGAGGAAAGGAAGTATACCGGTATCCAATTAATGGGAGGTTCTTTACCGCTCTATATGCATCTAATCCCAGCCTCACCTATTTGGGGTGAAAGCCAGCTAAATACAGGATGAAAAAGAAGTCTTAAAAAACCCATTGAACTATGATACATCTACATTTCAGCTTGGTTAATTTTCTCAAACTGAAAACCATATAACCAACCAGCACCCAGAATAAGAAATGGAACATGGGCATCCTACCCCTACTCCCCAACTGGGAGTAACCACTATTTAATAAACTGACATTTAATAACATAGTTTAGGTCTCCCTCCTTTTTAGGGGAGGTGCAACATAAAAACTTTTCATCACTTTATGGTTTAAAAGACTTGCTCATAAGTGGAGGTAGTTGTTAAACATATCCCTGACAGCAGTGACTAGAGATTTTAGCTTGTGGCTGAAAGCTAAGTGGTCTCCTAAGCAGTGGACCCAGTGGGATCGTTACACATCCCCTGGGTTTAACTCTGCTGGTTTTACTTATTTGGGAATTGGAAAAGCAAAGAGAACAGATATGTCGGTGCCTGTTACATGCTGGCACTGTGCTAGGATCTTCATATATAAAATGTATATATTAAAAAAAGATACACACATGTACGGTTACTTCTCATAACCACCCTGGAAGGCAGGCAGTAGTGTTCACACTTTACAGCTAACGACATTGGCTCAGAGAGGTTCAAAAAATCCCAGAGTGGCCTGGCAAATGGCCTCTGAGTCCAGGAGGCCTGGATACCTCCAAAGTGAGGAGTCTATACTCTGCCTTGTACAGCCTTCCCTGGTGTATCATGGTAGAGCTTCTTCCTTTAAGTTTTACTTCTTCTCCCTCACACCTTGTGAATTCTTTTGCATTTCCAGATAAAGTCACTATCTTTAACGGGGAAGTTAAAAAAAATCAAAGTACCTGCTACTATTGTGTCTAGAGAGCTTAACTTTGTATCTAATAATTTGCGCTATCCTAAGAGGTTCTCTTGGCAAAGGACAGTAATATTAAATACTTGCCTTTCACTAAAAGCTTCGTAATCTCCTAAATCATTAACAGAAGCAACATGTTACACCATGGTTCTTTTTTGTAGTTTACTGTCTGGTAGAAAAACAAGTTAATACTTTTATATCAACATTTCACCAACTGCCACTCCTAGATTACAAAAGTCAAAGCCAATTTTCTTTGACACTGGGCCCTTAAATCTGACATTCATGTCATCATGCTAGAAGCCGGAGCTGCTGTACCCTACATTCTGGAAGGTGCCTCAACAAGGGTGCATTAAGGATTGTTTTAAACTTCTAGCATTGAAAAAGATCAATCATTCCTCCCAATGCCTATGGATAATAACAAAAGGAGAATCTCAGAGATTTGCTATGGATATTGAGTTTGAGAAGGCTAGTTTAATGAGTCTAAATTCCAGCTTTAAATTGTTCTGTAGAGACTCAGGGAAATGAGTCTCCCCCCATCTCCTGCTAGCTTCCTCAAGTACAGAAGATGAATGTCTTCCTGCGACCCAGGCACTGACTAGTCAAACAGTCTCACCAGTCTCATCATTAGGCTTCTCCCAAACAGCCTGTGGTGAAAGCAGCAGCTTTAATTTGGTTACTATAGTTTTCACTGATGTTCAGTCCTCAGAACTAGTCTTTTCTGTTAAACAAAAAAGGGGGACATAAACTATTCTAAGGAATTCGACCAGAAAAGGAAATAGGTACCTTTTATGAAAAGGACTTTCAAGCTCTCTGAGCACACTGTTTAACTGAAACAACTTTGCTCAAGTGTCTCCACATAAAACACTTAGCACCTTGCCCCCAGCAGCCAGATGGCTGGGATCTGTGTCACTTAAAATGCCCTCATTAGAAACAGAAATAAGCCACTCTTTACTCCCCTAAGTCAATCCACATTCCTCCTGGCTGTATCCTGCAGAATTAGCCGTAGGAGAAACAATACAGGTCCCGCTGGACGGCCATGAGCAGGCCCGGCGCTCCCCGAAAGCCCCCAAGCCGTGAAGAGAAGGCCACACTGGGAATGTCGGCCTTGGAGGTGGGGTACGGAGAGGGTATGGTTCTGAGCAGCTGGGCATCATGGAGGCTCCAGATTCTCGTGTAGCAGTCCTGGCCCACTATGAAAGAGGGAAGGCACAAGGCAGGTTATCTAGAGAATGCAAAACGAAAGTTATGTACATGTAGACATGGCTTCTACGTGATTCTTTAGAGCTAAGCATAATTTCATGGGAGCCAAAACACAAACTCACTAACAGAAAGTATCTACTGATAACAAGAGTCACCCTGGTGCTCTAGAGCCATAACTAGTTGCAGGTATTTAAAGTGACAAGACGCACTACGTTGGCTGTGTAATGCCGTGGCTGGCTCAACAGGTATCCTAGCTAACGGCTGGGCATTTTGTTTCTCCTGGTGTCAAGGAATGTTTATTATTAAGTGGGAGCCCAGCCCAATGGTCTAGATGATAGACAACTGATTTCCTTTTTATGAAACAGTAACCAGGAAGATCTGTCAACTTCATTACATCTGGTGACAGACCAGGTTGACAACTCTCCCAGAGCTCTTTTGGTTTAATGGTTTGGTTCCTAAGACCACTTTGTCTTCAGGGCTTTAAGTTCTGAGGAATGTGACCACAGCACCAGAGTTATGGGAGCCCAGACACATGATATATGCTACTGGAGATCTTCAGCAGGAGGAGGAGGAGGGCAGGCCTTGGGCAGTCATAGATTTCACATTTGTGATTTTGACCACCTGAGTGACTCTGAGACCATGGTGCTACCTCCCCTAGGCTGACTCCTGGCTGCAGTTTCTTACCAAAGCTAGTGACTGTCTGCAGCTGCCTTTCCACAAAGTTTAGCTCTTGGCCGGGTGCGGTGGCTCACGCCTATAATCCCAGCACTCTGGGAGGCCAAGGCTGGAGGACTGCTTTGAGCTCAGGAGATCGAGACTAGCCTGAGCAAGAGCGAGACTCCCTCTCTACTAAAAATAGAAAGATTAGCCAGGCATCATGATGCATGCCTATAGTCCCAGCTACTCGGGAGGCTGAGGCAGGAGGATCGCTTGAGCCCAGGAGTTTGAGGCTGCTGTGAGCTAGGCTGACACCACGGCACTCTAGCCCAGGCAACAGAGCGAGACTCTGTCTCAAAAAAAAAAAAAAAAAAAAAAAAAGAAGGCTTAGGTCTTCTCTATTTTCTAGCACACAGAAGCTCTTCTGAGATAAAAATATGTGAAAAATGGATTTTGAAAGGAAGTTAAGTGCTGGTGTTGTTAAGAGTAGTAAATAAGACTAAGAAAGTTGTAACAAAGTGATACTTCTTAGCCACAAAAGTGTTTCATGGGGAATTAAGTGCTTTCCGTAGAAATATTAACAAGCCTGAGGATTCATGAAGACTGAGAACATACTCCTTAATGTCAAGGGCCTATTTCATATGTAAAAACACTGATCTTTCATGCTTTCAGATTATTCTATAGCCCAGAAACGATAAAATCTGTAATCAATTGGTAACTAGTGGCCAGATAGCTGCTCCTGTTCTACAGTTCAGGGATCCACAGGGATGGTGGTAAAGGGACCAGGAATCAGTTACTTCATAATGACCGTAACACTCCTTTTCTCAGCATCCCCTGGTGCAAATGTGAGCAGAAAGAACAGGAGCCCAAGTTTTTAGACAAGTCAGTGCACGACGGGATAATGCTGGCTTGATGAATAGACTCAGACCCCAAACCCAGGTCCCTCAGCACCTCCCCTGCTTGTTTCTGAAGTGATGTCTGCCTACTGACATGGGGACAGAGGCTCTCCAACTGGGGCATGTTTAAACCATTGCTTATTAATAGACAACTCTACTTCCCTTCTAGTCTCCCCACCCGACTATCCCTTGATTGAATTCTGTTTCTGAGTAAACTCTCCCTCTGCTAAGCTGCTGGGGCCCCTAAGAGATACGACTTGATGGGATGGAATCTCCCCCTCCTTCCTCAAGTACCTGCCACCACGACTCCTTCCTCCTCGTGCACGTGCAAGGGCAGGTAGGCGTACTCATTCACATGGCCTTCGTACTGCCTTATACACTTCGTGGCCCTCAGGTCCCACAGCTTGATCTGTGGGGAGAAGCAGGAACACTGGTGAACCCCAGGTGTGAAGCCAGGAGAGGTGGTCTACAGTGCCCTCTTCAGGTCATGAAGGTCTACATCTCGAACTCCGGAGCCCTGGAGTCCAAAAGAACGTAACCAGAGAACCCCTTTCTCTTCTGTCTAGGCCAGATTATGCTCACCCAAGCAGCAAAGCAGCCCTCAGGGATAGCCTACAACTTGCCTAGTCTCCAGCTACCTTTCCCCTGCCTGGTGTCTTGGCACAAGGGTCTCTCCTGCAGAATCCCTTTACCTGGCAGGGTTCTGGGCCATAAGATCCTGTGGCCTGAGAAAGGCAGTCTTTCCCTACCTTTCCAGCCATGTCTGATGCCATCACACATTCCTCTTCTTGGAGGATTTGCACAGAGGTCACTGCTGAGTCATGGAACAGGCGGGTGGCCTTCCACCCCTTGCCTTGATTTCCACAACGCAGATCAATGGCAAAGATCTCCCCGGAGCGACAGCCGTTAAACAGCAAAGGAGCCTGTGGGAAGAGGGACTGCTTGGTGCCCAGCTACTACTACACCTCCCGCTGAGGCTGGGAAGGGTGTGTCCTCCTGAATATATCCCCTCCTTTCCTCCCTCCTCCCAGCCTCTGGGTCAGAAAGCGTGGGTGGACACGTGTCAGTCAGGTTTTGGGTCTTAATGGAGTTGGGAAGGAAAGTGAGTCCCTGTGAAATGGTAAAAGCAGTGGACCCCTTGTGTCCTCCAGCGTCCTCCTAGTGGGGAGCACACAGGACATAGGAGCTGGCCCCCTGGCTACATTGTTCCCTTTGGCCCCTCTCTCTGAAGCCCCAGTGATAGCACCCTGTCTGCAAGGTCTTTGGTAAGGCTGCAGTGATGAGTGCAGAGTAGGAGAGATCAGAGATGCAGGTAAGATGTGGGGTCCTTAGAAGGGCAGATGGCCAAGGAGGCCCGAATGATGAACTCTGTCCTTACTGCCAAAGCAGGTCAGCAGACTTCCTCCTCCCTGCTTTCAAAGAAAGAGAGCATTTTCTACAGGCAAGCCTTTGAAATATAGTAATGACTAGGAGTTTGATTTTTATATATAAAATGTACAACTTAAAAGGGGTGTATGAAACTAGTAAGCGCTATGAACTGGTACTTAATTTACACATTTTAAAAATGGTTTGTCCTGATGGCTAGGTCCAAGTACCCAAGAATTGCTGACAATTCATTTAAAGAGGAAGTTGTCTAAAGCCAGCTTAGGCAGGCCTCTCTGGATCAGCCAATTTTCACTTGGCTCAGATATATTCACAAAGTGACCTGTTAATACTTCCTGAGGCTCTTTTTTTTTTATTTCAGCATATTATGGGGGTACAGATGTTTAGGGTATGTATGTTGCCCTTCCCCCCTCCCCCTCCACTTTCTGAGGCTCTTTTTAGAGCCACAACGGGGAATCCAATTTGAATCCAGCCAAATTTCCATTCTGGGCAAACTTTATATTATACCCTTCCCAATCGAACCAACCAAGAGAGCAAACTGCTGGGTCAAGACATCACTGCTGGTCACAAACGACTGCCGGTGCCCCGTCACCACATTGGTTAGCAGGACACGCCGAGACAAGCCTGGTGGAGACAGAGAGGGGCCAGTGAGACAGTGTCATGTGTAGTCTGGGGGCAGGGACTGCTGGATAGGGTTTTTTTTTTTTGAGACAGAGTCTTGCTCTGTTGCCTGGGCTAGAGTGCTGTGGCATCAGCCTAGCTCACAGCAGCCTCAAACTCCTGGTCTCAAGTGATCCTTCTGCCTCAGTCTCCCGAGTAGCTGGGACTACAGGTGCTTGCCATCACACCTGGCTAAATTTTTCTATTTTTAGTAGAGATGGGGTCTCGCTCTTCTCAGGTTGGTCTCAAACTCCTGAGCTCAAGCTGTTTTCCCGCCTTGGCCTCCCAGAGTGCTGGGATTACAGGCGTGAACCACTGAGCCCGGCCCTGGATAGGGTCTTAAGGTCTGTTAAATCCTCTTCTATGGGTACCTGTGGAGGCAGGCTCACCTGTACTGAAGCAGTTATTTGCCTGGATGTTCAGTGACCATGCACAGGACCAGGCACCAGGGATCCGGAAACTGCAGAGCATGCCAGGCCGGTCCACTCCTGCTGAGGGGATCAGAAAATGTAGAGCATGGCTGTCCTTTAGATAGGCCACTGACCATCAGATATGGAAAA